AAAACAAAACATAAAAGACAAAAGAAAGCTGAGGACAAATAATGTACACATTACAATAAAAGTGCCATCGATACCAATTCATAGGCACTTCAAGTAAATCATGAGCATGTGCTTCACACAACTTTGATAACTGAGAGGAACTGGACCAATTCTTTATCTCCTGCAACTTACACACAAGGAGAAATACACAAATGAATAGCCAATGCCTACTGAAGAAACTGTGTCAATAACTAATTCACCTCACCCTGAAGGGCACAGGGCAGGTATAGGCACCTTGGGGCAGCCTCTGGAAAGAAAAATGCTGAGGACACTGGACCTTATGAGGCATCCAAAAAGATCCTCTCTGCCCAAGAAATTCTGATACGGTGCCTGCATTTAAGGAAGATAAAAGGAGAAGCATGAGATTTTTACAGGTGTGAACTGAAGTTCTCTATGAAGTTGCATCTACATTAAAGAACTTTCAGACTATTTGACTCTGGCTAACTAGACCACCAAGAGGATGGAAAGACTAGATTCTCTATGGAGAGCAAAAATTATCTTGGGCTATCGTAAGTCCTTTAATAGTCAATCCCTCAACTTTTGTATCAGACCAAATTCTCAGAACTAATAAACTTCTGCTGGACTTGGTGGTGCATATCTGCAATCCCAGCTGTTTGGGAGGCTGAGGCAGGAGGTTCTGAGTTCAAAACCAGCCTCAGCAATTTAGTGAAGCACTAAGCAACTCAGCGAGATCCTGTCTCAAATAAAATAGAAAAATGGGCTGGGGAGGTGGCTCAGTGGTTGAGTGCCCTGGATTCAATCTCCAGTACCAAAACAACTACCACCACCTCTACAACAACAAAAAAATAAATGAACTTCTCAGAATGTATCCCTAACCTAACCAGACATCTACCTTCCATCATTCTCCAAGGCTAGTAATATAATAAAAACAAACCTATAGAAGAAATTTCCCCTTTTTTGCTGTAGCCTACCAATATGATGCTCCTACCAATGCAATGGGTTAATGTATCCATATATACATTTCTTTTATCCTGACTATTAAAGTTCCTAGAGGCAAAGCACAGTAATCCCAGCAGTTTGAGAGACTGAGGCAGGAGGATTAATAAATTCAAAGTCAGCCTTGACAACTTAGATCACATCTCAAATGAAACATACAAAGGTCTGGGGATGGGGTTCAGTGGTTAAGTGCCAATCAGTTCAATCCCTGGTTAAAAAAAAAAAAAAATTGATGTATGTAATATATTCCAGGGTAGAACATATACATCATTAAGGGTAACCTGAATCCATGTTCCTGAATACAGTCATTAATATTTGGATCAAAATGAACTATTTTCCTCAGGTTGGGTGGCCAGTGCCTTTAATCTCAACAGCTTGAGAAGCTGAGGCAGAAGGACCACAAGTTCCTGGGCAACATAGCCACACCGTCTGAAAATAAAATTTAAAAGGGATGGGAATGAAGGACAGTAGAATAAATCAGACATTATTACCCTACGTGCATATATGACTGCATGGCCTGTGTGAATCTACATCACATAAAAGCAGAAAAAAGAGAATTTATATTCTATTTACATATGGTGTGTCAAAATGCATTCTACTGTCATTATAACTAATGAAAATAAAATTTAAAAAAGAATAATTTATACAAAAAAAGGGCAGGGTATGTAAACCAGGATTCAATATCCTTTGTACCAATAACCAATTGCTTTATTTTCTTTACAGCAGTTATTTTACATAAACAAGGGACAGCGTCAAGTGATTACTCTATTCACAAATAGAAAACAAATTATTTCAAAAGTGTTAATCTTGCCAGGGATGGTGGCATAGTCCTGTAACCCCAAGGACTCAGAGGCTGAGACAGAAGAATCACAAGTAGGAGACCAACCTCCAAAATAAGTAGGACAAGATCTCAAAATTTAAAAAGGGGGAAGGGGCGGCGGCGGGGCGGGGTTGGGTGGGGGGGAGTCACTGTTAAAGCTACCTTAGTTTTAACGGTCAATAATATATATTCTTTGCAATATTTCACTAGGGAAAATGAAAATTAACAGATGCGTCCACTTGAAACATACGAGGAAGAACAAATATTTGATAAAGCTGTGAAGTGGAGAGAAAAATGGCATTTTAGAATGAATGTAGGAGGCAATTGCAATTTTAAAGATCTACAGCAGCCTACACCAGGGGAAGTAGGATTTGTGATCCTGTTTGCTCCACATTTGGAAGACTTCATGTAGGCAACCAGCAAGGAGGGGAGGGAACGCCAAGGACCTGAGCCCAGCCCATCCCAAAGACCACTGGTACAGAGGCCCAGGGCCACCCGCCAGCAGAGACTAGGACCCACGCTCTGCAGCTGACCTCGGGACCCAGCCGTCGGCACACTCGGGGAACCAGAGAACAGGGCCCAGAGCCACCCGCCCGCCATGACTCCTCCACGCTCCGCAACTCACCCGCGGGTGCCGACCCGGTTCCGCCAGCCCTGGCCGCACAGTCACCATTTTGGCTTCCATGGTGACTCGCTGTCCTCTCCAGGGACCTCACGGCACCGGAGCTCTCGGAGAACAAAGGCTGCTCAGAGTCACAGAAGCCTCCTAAGCAGAACACGCGGCGCGAGGAAAGGCAGGAGCGGAGTTGCTGAGGAAGAAAAGCCCGCCGGATTGCCGAAGTCCGCCAGTCTGCGGAAGCCCGCTGGACTGCGGAAGCCAGCCCGACTGCATTAGCCAGCCCGACTGCGAAAGCCCGCCCTCCCCCGCACCTGATTGGACAGTTCCACCCGGCGTCCCTGATGGACCGCCTCCAGGCGCGGCTCCGCATCGTGAGTGACGGCTAACATCACCCAATCACTGGCGAGAGGGACAGATCCTTGGCCCCCCCCCTCCCCCCCCCGTTTCACGCGGGAACTCTTTGCCGTTCTGGGACCCAATCTCGGAAAGAAGCCTTTGCTGGGAACCTGGCACGGAAGGTAACCTGTGAGCATGAGCTGTGGCTCCGAGCAGAGGCTTTCCTAGCACGGGTGAGGCCCTAGGTTGTAATCTCACCACGGAAACGAACAGCAATGACAACAGTTCCTGGGGAATCTGAGGCAGGAGGAGCCCAAGTTCACGTCAGCTTCTGCAAACAGTGAGACCCTGTCTTGAATAAAGTAAAAACTGTTGGGGACCTGGCTCAGAGGTCGACCCCACTGGGTTTGTTCCCTAGGACAGCAAAGAAGAACGAGGTGTATATATGCTATCAGCTGGTGTGAGCTCGGGACTTAGCAAGACAGTCAGAACTTGTGAAACACTGTTTAAAGATATATATAGGGCTGGGGATGTGGCTCAAGCGGTAGCACACTCGCCTGGCATGTGCAGGGCGCTGGGTTCGATCCTCAGCACCACATAAAAATAAAGATGTTGTGTCCACCTAAAACTAAAAAATAAATATTAAAAAATTCTCTCTCTTTCTCTTTAAAAAAAGCATATATATCACATGATATCAAAGAATGAGAACAATTTGACAATTAGTTTCATAATTCTCATCCCCTCCTGGCCTCTGCTCTTTTGAGGAGGCAGCCTGAGCTACGAAAGGAAGCAATTGGGGTTGGCTTTGTAGTTCAGTGTTCCATCCCCAGGAGAACGAGAAAAAAAAATGAATAAAAATAAAATAAAAAAAGGAAGGCAGGCGGGCAATCCTCTAGGACAGCAGTGTGTGTGTGTGTGGGGGGGATATAAAATGGTCGCCTTGTGCTTAATGTAGATGTTCTACATTCTACTATTAGGGAGTCCTAGGCAGAGACATGACTGATGATCCCACTGGTCAGGTCAACTGTTTAATCCAAAACAAGCAGAAAAGGTCATGATGAAAAGCAGGAAAGGGATGGTGATCAGTGCAGCTACAACAGAAAGACAAGGGAACCCTATCCTTAAACCTGGCTTCAGGGGTGACAAGGACTTTGAGGTTTCATACAAAAGGTGATCATAGGCAGGTATGTGTACAAAAAACTGTAGGATTTGGTATTATCTGTGGCTTCAGGCACCTGTGGGTCTCCTAAGATATATGTGAGCTCATGCTCATTTGCCCCCTTGACTCATGTCACTCCATTGCATAGACTGAGGTCACTTAGTCTCTCAGGAGGAGTCGCGTCCCATGTGTCTTTCCATGTCAAGTGTTCAGAGGCATCAACATTTTCAAGAAAAGCCACATGCCCAACCTCTCCTGCCCAGAAAGCAATTGACCCCCAGATGCTGACCCAGTGCTCTCAGCTTCCTGGGTTTCAATTGCTAGTTACACCATAAAGAAACAAAAACCCTGCTCAGCTCTACTTACAAATCTTGGATATAAATCCCAAATATTTACCACTCGGGCCAATATGCCCTGTGGTATCGTCCATCTTATCCCTCTTGGAAAGTAAATAAAATTGGAAAGTAAATAAAATTTTCTTCTTTGCTTTTAACTTGGACTTTGTGAAGTCTTTCTTTCACATCCTGCACACTGGCCTAAGTTCATTCTACCTAACATTATCAACTATGGATGGGGCGCAGGGGGGTGCTAGTATATAAAGATCATATTCCCACAAGTATGGAACAGTGGCCACTTACCTGCCAGGGCTGAGATCTGACCTCCAGGTGCTTTTTTCTCTTTACCCTGTGCTAGGGATGGAATCCATGGCAGGGGCACTTTATCACTGAGCTATATATATCCTCAACACCCTTTTTATAGTGGTACAAAGAAGGTGAGTGGGAGCATAAATATAATGGGTTTGAGAAAATGACTCCTGATGGGGACTCCAATCTATTATTGATCAAATGAAGAAAATGACACATGATTAGGCTGGGCTTGGTGGCACACACCTGTAATCCCAGTGGGTACAGATGCTGAGGCAGGAGGATTGCTAGTTCAAAACCAGCACCAGCAAAAGAGAAGTCTTAAACAAGTTAGTAAGAACCTGTCTCTTAGTAAAATAGAAAATAGAGCTGGGGATTGATTCAGTGGCTGAGTGCCCCTGAGTTCAATCCCCAGCACACACACATACACACAAACATACATACACAAATCCTAATTATATCATTGGTCTCCCTTTAACTTCTTCAAAAGACATAAGATTACATAATGCAATAACTCTTTCAGCAAGTTACTGTTTAATCTGTAATTTTACAGATATGACATATAAAAGAATAATATACAAAAATGGAATATAGAAAAGGATTTATGTGAAGAAGGAAATAGAGCTATGTAGGATATTTTAGCTGGCATTCTTAGTATGAATGTGTGGATGATTCTGATGAGATACACATGGTGTGAGATATAAAAAATCCAGGGATCCATTTTCAGAACACAGCATTTAGCCTTAAATGTAAAATTGGGATGTAAGAAAGACAGCCTGAGGGGAAATAGAGCAGAATTCAAAGATACAAGCACAACACCACGGCCTGTTGATGTGGCAGATTCAGATTCCATGCACCTGAACCCCCCTTGACCCACAGGAGGTAGGGAACGGGTTTAGCCTGACCAACAGAAATAGAAATATCTGTTAATTTAGGTAAAGTAAAACTCTCTACATGCCAAGATGCATTCAATCCAAGAAGGGTTTCCTGCTACAAGAGAACAAGAGAAATGGGTACAACTAATCATATATTTCTTTATATACATATATCTAATTTTTTTGATGCCAGGGATTTAACTGAGCGGGGCTTAAACACTGAGCCAGATTTCCAGGTCTTTTTATTTTTATTTTTTTAAATTTTGATACAGGATCTTGCTAAGTTTCTTAGGACCGCACTAAGTTGCCGAGACTCTCTTTGAACTTGCAGTCCTCCTGCCTCAGCCTCCCAAACCACTGGAATTACAGGTGTGTACCACACTGCCCAGCATCATATTTCTTTAAATGATCCTATGGGAGATAGCAAAATCCATGTGATGATCCGGAAGATGGCACACACCATTATACTTACCCAGTGAGGAACTGGGGTTTAGGGGTCCTTGGGCTCCTGATGATAAAATGCTGACCATACTACTCTCTGTGTGTCTGCTCCCTCATACTTTCAATCTTGCAAGTCCATCAGTAAAAGCTGTGCTTTCTCTGTACCTTTGTCTCTCAATCTTTTAGGAGACAGAGAGATGACAATGATAGGAACACAATATTAAGAGAATAATTCTATAAAATGGGTTCACTGTGCTGGCCCCACATGCTTTCTTTGCCTAAAAGCAATTTACCTGCAACTCTGCCTGGCTTATGTGGACAAGAGAAGTCACATTATTCAGCAAACTACCTGTTATCTGTAGGAGCAGTGCAGGCAGGGAATATCCTAAGAGGAACTGAGTTACTTTGCAGGAAGACTTTTGTGACCCTTTTCACAGGCCAGGTTTTGGAAGATAAGAATAATTCTTTGGTTAAGAATCCAATTAGAACAGCTCAGCATGGCTCAAGGTGACATAGAGTTGCAATGACAGTGGGGACTTAAAAGTCTGATATCCCCCTGTGGTCAGTCAAAGGTCAAGAGGAGTCTCTGGAAACTTCCCTGAAACCCCAATAAAACTGGAGTGCAGGAGAGGCACACTGACCCTCTCCTTTGTGAAAGGACCTGTTCTCTCCCTTGAGAGGCTCCCCTTTCCCTTTCCCTGTCCCTTCAATAAGCTCATGACTATTGGGGGACTCACCTGAAATCTTTCTGACTTGACTGCAAGAATGGAGGTTTGAAGGAGGTCTTTATGTTATCTCCATTTCTCTGGGTCTATAACAAAGCCATTTTTGAGTTTTGGACGAGTGAGCATATTTCTCACGCATGATAACTCATCTCTGGGCCAATACATATAAAACTGGAAAAAAAATCACGGAAGAAAATCTTCATTAGCAAACAAAACCAAAACAAAATATAAAAGATCAGTAGCCTTGTATTGTGATTCAAACCATGCCAGGAGGATCAAAAATTCTAGGCCATCCTCAGCAATTTAGCCTCACCCTCTCTCAAAATAAAGTTTTAAAAGGGGCAGGAAATATAGTTCAGTGTTAGAGCACCCCAGGCTCAATCCCGAGTAAAACATAATCACACACAATGAAGATGGATAGAGGAATAAAAATGAAATAAGAAAATAGAAGAATGTAAAAGGGCAGATATGAATCTACATTAACAGAAACATTAAATGTGAATTGACAGAACAATCCTATTGAAAGGTAGAAGTCATCAGACAGAATGAAAACATGGTACAATTCTATGCTATCTACAAGGGTCACTGTTTGTAAGCAAATATATAAAGAGTTTGAAACAAAAGGATGTGAATCATACACCATGCAGACAGCCAGCAGGAGTGAGCTGTACTGTAGTACCTCTACCAACATCAGGCAAAATATTTCAAAGCCAAATATTTACTGATAAATAACATCCATGGAAACATGAGTTTAAGGTGTTACTGAATGCCCCATTTTTTTTTTCCTAATGCCAATCCAATAATGAGGGCCCAGAGTTGAGAAAAAAGGGAAAAAAAGTTTGCTAGCAAAGAAGCAGCACAGGGGCTCCTGTCCCAGAGGCTGTAATTCTGACCATTAGAAGAATGGGGACGGGGCGTGTGTACCAGGGATTGAATTCAGGGGCACTTGACCACTGAGCCATATACCCAGCCCTATTTTATATTTTATTTACAGACAGGGTCTCACTGAGTTACTTAGCGCTTCATATTTGCTGAAGCTGCCTTTGAACTCTTGATCCTCCTGCCTCAGCCTCCAAAGTGACTGAAGATTACACACATCGCCAGCACACCTGGC